ATCTATCTATCTATCTATCTATCTATCTATCTATCATCTATATCTATCTGTCTGTCCATCCGTCCGTCCATCCATCCATCCATCCATCTATCATCTATCTGTCTGTCTGTCCGTCCGTCCGTCCATTCATCTCTATCTATCTATCTATCTATCTATCTATCTATCTATCCATCATGACTGACATCTGTCTGTCTGTCTGTCTGTCTGTCTATCCGTCTATCCGTCCATCCATCCATCCATCCATCCATCCATCCATCCATCCATCCATCTATCTATCCATCCATCCATCCATCTATCCATCTGTCTATCTATCATTATCCTTATCCATCAGGATAGAGATATCACTACGCAAGATTGTGATATAGATAGTCCTCAACTTAGGACCATTCATTCAGCAATTGTTTGAAGTTAGGTCTTTTGTAACCTTTACCAACAACCAAGGGCCTAACTTCAAACAGTCCATGTGTCAAAACTAACCCTCCAATTTTTGTGTGTTTTTAAATAATAATCTCCCCTCAATTTTGAAATAAGATACTCTTATCAACACGAGACCTTTTGTTTAAATGCTCTTTAATAACCATCTGATCAATACATCCAGACCTTAGGCTGAGTGTTTTAAGACTTTTGAGTGGGAGGGGGGGCGGGTTGCTGTCTCCCCTTCCCACCTCTTGTAAATATTTGGACCAAATTAAAAAAAAGAGAGAAAGAAAGGAATGGAGGACTAGCGGAGAAATCTTTGGAAAGCTTTTGTGAAGTGTGGAAACCCTTACAAAAATCTGGAGAGATGCAGTTTTTGAAGGGTGAAAAATGAGGCACTGTAGATAGATAGATAAGGAAGCAACCCCACCGCCTCCCCAAAATCCTCTTCAGTTTCTTCCTGCTCCTTTTCTCTTTTTCTCACCCTCCCTAAAACACACCCTTACTTTAGAGGAGGAGGAGGAGGAGGAGGAGGAGGAGGAGGAGGAGGAGAAGAGGAGGAGGAGGAGGAGGAGGAAGAAGAAAGGAGAAATTTGCAGAGAGTTCAAAGGAAAGGCAACCTGTGATTAGAAATGTTTTGTTGCTAAGGAAATTCGGCACACAAGGATACACAAAGCAAGGACTTGGTGTGTGTTTGTGCGTGTATGTAAGACTGGGGGGAGGGAAATAGTCTTGCACAAACACACACACACACACACACACACCCCTTCCCTGTTCTCTCTCTCCAGGGAGAAAGTTTGCACGCTGGCTGGGTTTCTTAATTTTAAAGTTGCAAGCTTCAGTTTCCTTTCTGGGGTGGTTGAAATTGGTTTATAATGCAGAGGGGAGCTCGGAGGTTGGATAAAATCTCGTGTTTTCTTTTTCCTTCCAAGTAGATCGCCTCCAGAGATCTAGTCTGTCAAGATTTGGGGAGTGTCTCCATTAACAGCCCGGAGGGAATGGGCAAACGAAGAGGTACAAACTCCTTTTCTCTCTTTCTCATGGAGAAAAAGCTGTTTTTCCCCCACCTTTTTGCCACTTCTGAGACCATAGCAAGAAATACAGGAAGGACTTAAAAGAATTTGTTCCTTGGAAAGTTGGCCAGGTTAGAAATGTAGCTTCTAAAGGATCTCATCGCTGCCAGCTCAACAGGTTAGCTTCCTTCTAAAGGAAAGACATTTATCGGCCTGTTCAAGAATTTTAACCTCCGCAGATCCAAAAAGTGGTTCCAAAGCCTCAAAAAGCTCCTTCTGAATTATTCCTATCCAGATGGGAAGTGCTCCAGAGATTCAGACTACAATACCCATCAGTCTCCAGCCAGTCTTCCCCTTCCCGCAGACCTTGGCTGGATTCAAGACCCCCCTTAAGGTTTGGGGAGTACTGATTTGAGGAGGATGGGATCTGCAGTCCACCCCAGAGGAGCTCAGGGAGGACCACAGATTGTCCTCAACCCAACGTGGAATTTGCAGAAAGCGTCCCGGAAAGAAAATAGAGGAGAAATATTTCTTTCCCCTCCCTTCCCACGTTGGAGGGTGAAAAAAATTCCTTTAAAAACAAAAAACAGAACAAAGCAAAAGATGAAAACACCTCATCTCACGAAATCCAGATTTACTCTGAGAGAGAGAGAGAGAGAGAGAGAGAGGGAGGAGGTTTAAGGAAGCCGAGTGCATTGTCCTTGAAATTTCCTCCATGGGCCTCTCTGTCCACGAAAACAGGATGAAGCCACTTCCTCCACAGCCGTCTTTGGAGATGAAAAGGGAGGCAGGGCGGCGGCAAGGCGGGGAGGGGGGCGCATCGACACAGATCAGAGTCTTGGGGTGGGAGGGAGGAGAGGATGAAGCTCCTCCAGGGGGGGGCGGAGTTTACTTGAGGACATCCAGATGAGTGCAGACTTGCTTGAAGACCTCATCTACCGTGCCTTCTGCGTTGATCTGAAAGACGGGGAGAAAGCCACGGGGGCTCAGCAGGAAAATCCTGAAGTTGGCTTCTTTTGAGACAACGCCCAAGCATCGTCGCTGTCCATCCTCCCTCCCCCACCACTATGGAGGCCAGAGACCACCCCTTCTTGAAGGGATCCTAGCCAGGTTGAATGTTGGAGAGAGAGAGAGAGATCCACCAGCTTTCAAAGACAGAATGGGAGGCTCACAAGAAGACCCATCTGATCCTACCTTCTCCCTGGCCATCTTGGTACCCAAGTTCCTACAGCTTCCTAAGCCAAGGGTCTTCAACCTTGGCAAGTTTTCAGACTTGTGGGCTTCGACTCCCAGAATTCCTGAGCTAACGTGACTGGAGGAGGAATTCTGGGAGTTGAGGTCCACAAGTCTTAAAGCTGTCAAGTTTGAAGAACCCCCCATCCTAAGCCCTCAGGTGGATTCCAAGGGAAGCCAAGCTTGATGCCTTCAAACCATGCTTGGGCCTTCGCTGTTGAGCACACTCAACGTGTCTTCGTTCCACAAAAGCAACGTTAAAATATCCCATGGTTTAGGAGGATGGGCAAAGCTCAAAATATCTAGGCCTGAAGATAAGACCTTCCACCCCCAACTCTGTTTCACAGGGGAGGATCCATCTTCAAATCTTGGTCCCACCACAAGGTCAACCCTTCACATCTTGGGAATTGCTTCCTCCCCACCCAAGTTCCATTTCCCCTCTTGCTTCTCTTCGAAATCCTCCCAATGTTGGCGTGGATTTCTTCCCTCCGCTGGCAGCCAATTAGTCAGCGCCTGGCTATGTCGAGCAGGATAAGACCTGGAGAGACGTCCCTGAGAATAATGAGCGACTGTGGCCCATCCTCACAACTCAGGAGAATGGGTGTCCTTTCTCTGCGATAGCTCGGTGGGTTCAAAATACTCTGGGTAAGATTCCCTGCAGAGACTGACCTGCTGCTTAAGTGTACAGGGGGATGAGGGAAGGGAGGGAAGGAAGGGAGGAAGGAAGGGGAGGGAAGGAGGGAGGGAGGAAGAAAGCAAGGAAGGAGAGAGAGGGGAGAGTGAGGGAAGGAAGGAAACGGAGGGGAGGGGAGGAAGCAAGAAAGGGAGGTGAGGAAGAGAAGGGACGGAGGGAATGAGGAAGAAAGCAAGGGAGGGGAGGAAGGAGGGGGGAGAGGAAGGAAGGAGAGGGAGGGAAGGAAACAAGGGGAGGAATGGAGGGGAAGGAAGGAAGCAAGAAAGGAAGGGGAAGGACAGAAGAGGGGAGGGAATGAGGAAGGAAGGGAAAGGAAGGAGAGGGAGGGAAGGAAACAAGGAAGGAGGGGAAGGAAGGAAGGAAGGAAAGAGGGAGAGGAGGGAAGGAAGAAAGGAAGGGGAAGGAGAGAAGGGGGAGGGAATGAGGAAGGAAGGAAAAGGAAGGAGAGGGAGGGAAGGAAACGGAAGGAAAGAAGGAAGGAAGGAAAGAGGGAGAGGAGGGAAGGAAGAAAGGAAGGGGAAGGACAGAAGAGGGGAGAGAGGGAGGGAAGGGAAGGAAAGGAAAGGAAGGTGCAAACGGCTCAGCCAGTAATTTTTATGTGGCTGAAATAACTCCCTCTGTCTGGATCCCAAACACATTGCCCATTTCAGACAAAAGGTGTAAATTCAGGCGAATTTACCCACCTTGCGGACAATTCCCTTCTTCTCGTAGTAGGCAATGACGGGCTCGGTGGCCTTGTAGTAGGTTTCCAAACGCTTCTTGATGGTCTCCTCGTTGTCGTCCACCCGCCCGCTGGTTTCGCCTCGCTTCAGCAGCCGTTTCACCATGGTGTCCTTCCCAGCGTCCACGTACAGCAGGAGGGTGGGGGCAGCGATCTGCTCGGGGAAAGTTCAAGGAAAAGTCAAGGTGAGGAGGAGAGGAAGAGGAAGAAGCGGGGAGAAGGGAGGAAAAGGGGGAGGAAAAAGGTTAAGGAGAAGACAGATGAAAAGATAGGAGGAGGAGAAGGAAAAGGAGAAGAAAAGTAGATAAAAGGGGGAGGAGGAGGAGGAGGAGGAGGAGATAGATGGGAAAGAAAGAGAAAGGAGAAGAGGAAAAGAAGAGAGGAAAAGTAGATAAAAAGTGGAGGAGGAGGAGATGGGAAAAAGGAGAAGAAAGGAGGAGGAAGAGGAGGATGAGAAAAGGAGGGTAAGTAAGGAAAAGATAGATGAAGAGGAGAAGGAAGAGGAGAAGAAGATGAAAAATAAATAAAAGGGGGAGGAGATAGATGGGAAAGAGAAAGAAGGAGAAGGAGATAGAAGAAGATAGAGGAGGAGGAAGAGGAGGACGAGAAGAAGAAAAGGAGGAGGATAAGGTTAAGGAGACAGATAAGGAGAAGAGATGAAAAGTATATAAAAAGGGAGCAAGAGAAGATAAAGAATGAGAAAGGAGGAGATAGAAGAAGGAGAAGAAGAAGAAATGAAAAAGGGGAGGAGGAGATGGGAAGGAGAAAGAGGAGGAGGAGAAAACCAAGTTTGCAATTCTCTAAACCTTCCTTCGCATGTTGCAAATTTCACCTGGCGCTTTCTGTTCATTGATCAATAACGGGCAGATGGCAAAATCAAAACCACAACCCATTCAACAAAACTGAACAAGATTTAGCCAAACAACAGCCCGCCCTAGTTAGTTGCTCAAACCCGAATCCATGTTCTCGGCCACCAAGCAGAAGATTGTGAGAAAAGATTGCACTGCCCTCTTGTGGCTTCATCCCGCTCCTACCAGGGCCAGCACCACTCATATTAAATAATATTAAATAATAATTCGATAAGAACAACGCCGTCATGTCCAAAATCAAAAGCTCCCTGGGGAAAAAAAAAAACGAGGGAGAAACATTACCAAGCTATGAAATCTTTTCCTCTGGTGTCCCAAAGGTGCTATTTTTTCAGGAGGCACCTGGACTTTCCTTTGAAGATGTTTTGCTTCTCATCCAAGAAGCTTCTTCAGCTCTGATTGGATGGTGATGAGGAATGGAAGGAATTATATTCCTACTAGCTGGATACCCATGCTGCGCTACGAAACTATTCAATGGGTCTTAGTTTTTGGGGAGGAAAATAAAGGGGTGGGGGGGAAATTCAGCCTCTGCCTACCAGCATCCATCTGGTATTCATCTGGATAGCGTCCTGTCAGTGTGTGAGAGAGTTGAGGGCTGTTTGGAAACTGAAAGAGTATTTGCTGTGTGAGCAAGGAGACAGCAAGGAGCCTGGGCGTGGCTTAGCTCATCTGTTCTGGACTAAAGCTGCTTGGTGCTGTGAACTTGAAACTCCTCTCCTCTGATTGTGTTTTGCATTTGGAAGAGATTTATTTTCAGGTGGGGAGGGGGAGTAGAACTCCTTAGCAACAGAGCGTGTTAATAATAATATACGAAATACTCTGATGGTCATTTGAAAAATCCTTTCTTAGCACCTAGAAGCCAAGAGGAACTTAGGTGCCAAATTTCAAGTTTGTAGGCTTTACGGTTCTGGAGATTTTGTGATGATGTGTGAGTGGTTTTTTATATATATATAGATAGATATATTTCTGTCTGCAAGGAATATAAACCCTTCCATTCCCCACCACCATTCAGGCAGAGCTGGAGAAACTTATTGGATGAGGAGAGAAACGTCTTCAAAGAAAAACCAAGAAAGTCCAGTTACCTCCTGGAAAAAAAAAAGTACTTTTGGGACAACCATAACTTGGATGACAGAGAATCTCTACAGATTTTTCTTCTGAAGATGCCAGAAATCAAACTTAAACCTTGGATCTTGCAAAATCACCAATTTGGTCTTTATGCTCGAACTTGCCATGCAAATCCACCTGCACACCCAGGTAGTAATTTTCTGAGGGAGGGAGGGAGGGAGGGAGAGAGAGAGGAAGAGGAGAGAGAAAGAGAGAGAGAGAGGAAGAGGAGAGAGAGAGAAGAGAGAGAGAGAGAGGAAGAGGAGAGCGAGAGAGGAAGAGAGAGAGGAAGAGGAGAGAGAGGAAGAGGAAAGAGAAGAAGAGAGAGAGAGAGAGAGGAAGAGGAGAGAGAAAGAGAGGAGAGAGAAAGAGAGGAAGAGGAGAGAGAGAGGAAGAGGTGAGAGAAAGACAGGAGAGAGAGAGGAAGAGGTGAGAGAGAGAGGAAGAGGAGAGAGAAAGAGAGGAAGAGGAGAGAGAA